CTTATGCTCCTTTAAATAATTTTATTATATTTCTGTGTTACTGTAAATGTCTGGCATCCACCTCTTCGGTTTATTAGTAGTAGAATCATTGTTGGCTAACCAAACCCAATCAGGACTCATAGGCACTTTAAATAAAACAAAAATAAATCCCCAACTTCAACATTCAGCTATTTCCCTTGGCATAACATGGGATGTGGCTATCTGTGCAACAGCAGAGACCTGGTCCTCTAGTTTCAGGTCAGTAAACTAGAGAAAATAAATATTTTTAAAACTTTAACAATCTAATAATGACATATTGGATATAGTATTTTTTCATAAAACACAAACATTTTCAGAAGGATCCCTTAAATTTGGTTTGTTTGATATATATCGGCTGATATATTTGCTTGGCAGGTCTAGCTCTATTTAGAGTGATTCATATGCTGAACAAGGCAGTGGGTTACAGTCACAGACGTATGTTCACAGTGTACATGCTAAGGTTAAAGTCACCGACAAAAAGGAAAAAAGGATAATTTCCTTATTCTCAGCTAGTGCCAGTCAGGTTTCTGTCAGCTTCTAAAGGTCACTATAGTTTGTCTGGAGGCTGATGGATCTCAGTGTTGAACTGACATTTGACAGACTCAAATTGTAGCAGACGATTAATTGTCATTCAAATAATTGCAATTAACGATTTAATTGTCTATTTCTGTTCCTGTCATGCCACGCAGTGATGCTTGCAACTTGGCCTATATCCATGTTGTTTATTTCAATGTCTGAACAAAATTATGTGGACATTTGCAAAGGGGTGATCATTAATCTGCAAATAGTTTTTGCATGTACGCGTTCTGAAACAATGTTTCACCTTTCGCTTCACACTATATACACTTTAGTTTGTTCTAAAACGGTTAGCTTCAAGACAGTTAATTAATATAAAAGGACACCTGATTTTAATTTCAAAGTTACTATGCAATGGGGAAACACAAAGCCATGTTTCCACACAAGCATCTTCATTAATTAGAAAAGCTGGACGAAAGAAACCTGCCTGGTGGCTGTTCCGCCAGTGTATGAGTGAGTGTGACTGGTGAATGCAGATGTAGTGCAAAAGCGCTTTGAGTGGTCGAAAAGACTAGAAAGGCGCTATACAAGTACGGAGCATTTACGGAGCATTTGAAAACCAAATTTGACTCAATTTCCACAGCATCATTTCCCATAAGCCCCTGACATTGGAACCATGTTGTCAGGTAAACAAGTTTAATGCCTCAGCCCAGATGCAAATGCACTTATTTGTTGTGACATTTCTAACATTAGCCAGGTTTCCATCCACATGTAGATTTTAACCTAATTTACAAAACTCGCCAAAAAAAAAGGCCATTCACTACCATTATATGAATATTAGAAGCTGAGCTCATCAATAATTAGTAATAGTAATAAATAGTTGGGGCACTAATTCTCCAGTCACAGTTTGAGGAAAACCTCAAACTGTGTGTGGAAGTGTGGATTTGGTTTGTTTCATGTACTTGGCTTATTGCCTTGACTGTGGAATCTAACAATCGTGCAGAATGATTAGTCAGCTCAAATAGTCAAGGTTATTGCTATGGCAATGCGGTGTGAAGATGCGGCAGGTAGCTCCTTCAAACGGCGCTACTTTTTTGTTTAATCTGTTATTTTTTTTCCAACTTTATTGCTGAAACATCAAAGAATGATGTCTTGTTGGATTTGATTTAAAAGGCTAAGCCAAAATTGTTCAACTGGATCAGGAGATTTTGCAGATAGCAAGGTAGCTCCTTCAAACTCCACTATATTTTCATCTGTTATTCTTTTATTTTTCGGCTTTATTGCTGAAACACATTATACATTCATCGGAAAAGGAAGCCAGGGTTAGGATAAAACAGCAGCGGACCATGAGTAGATCTACCCAGCCAGATCAATCGGACTAGGCACTATGATGGGTGCTGTCATTGGCCCAGGAGGAGAGGAAAGAGAGCCGGGATACCCTAATCCTTGATGATGTTATAGCTGTGGCAGGGCTAACCATGTTAATGCAGAGAACAACTATGTTTAAATCAAGCACATTAAACAGTAGCATGCGTACAATGTTTCTAAATTGCCTGTTTGTACTCTACAGATTAGTTTTCCTCATGCATTTTTGTTGAGGTTTCAACGTGTGGAGCAACAGACTGGATCAGACACTGTAAAGGGTGTGAGGGGAGGTCAGAGAGTCTGCAAGACTGCTCTCTCTGTTTATTGCTGTCACATAGAGATTCATTAGTGTAGCCAATGTACCTGCTATTCCTAACTGAAGTTACTGCGGCGCTGTGTCAATCACTGTCATGCTCTCCATTCACATTCCTGCTTTCTCTCTCCTTTCTAATTTCCTCTCTGATCCCTCATCACACACTCGCCCTGATCCTGACTCGTCATCACTCATCAGTTCCCTTCTGTTCACCATCATAGACTAACACTCCTGTGGTGCTGCTTGACAAAACTCTCCTGCTTCTCTTTACCAACCACTCCCTTCTCATGGTGGACCCCCGCCTCCTGGGGCCCCTCGGTCACCACCTCCCCGCCGACTGGCCTCTCATTAGGTTTCCTGTTGCGGTCCCAATCCTCACCCAGCACGCTCCCCGTGTCACTCAGCTCACCCAGGTGCTCCACCGAGTCACACTTTTCCAGGTCAGAGGCGATGGTCTGCAGGCTAATGACTGACGCGCAGTCTGAGCCGGCCTGCTCCGCCTCTAGTCGCTCCCTCTGTCCCCAGCCACTCTCTCTGTGCCTCTCCACCCAAAGCCTGGTTTTCTCACCGTCCGCCCAGTCACTCTCTATCCCACCGACTCCCGCACAGCTACTGATGTGAATCCCGATGGCGACTCTGACCTCAGCCTCAGCACCCACTGGGGAGCTCCGTCCCCCGCAGACTTCAGGATGGGCCCTGCTGGCCGTGATTCGCCCCCTCTGTGCATGGATCTGCTCGCTGATCTGCTCCAGGTTCCGCAGAGCCACAGAGTAACGAGCTTTTGCTTTTGCCACCTGCTCCTCCAGCTGTACTACTTTAGCCTTATGTTCCTGAAAAAACAGTTAGCAACAAGTTAGCAAGGCTCACGGTGACATTTTCTCCAAACACATAACATTTAATGGAGTAGGTTTTTAAGTTGGGAATTTCAAATTTTCTTTAGGGCTCGAGCACAGAACAGGGAAATTGCTAGGATAATTATTATTGTTTTACAAAAATGAAAAGCATTTTGTAAAGGGGCTAAAGGTGCTAGAAACCTCAGGCCCCAGGGACGTTAACGGTTCTTTTATCTGTACTTTGTTTTGTAACATGCTTGTCTCCCTTCTGCTCTCTGTGTCAGGCTTAGCGCCTCCACACATATACAGTGAAGTCAGCGAACAGCAGAGCAGTGAGGCTGTGGTGGAGACAGTGAGTCAGGTGAAGTGAAGATTGAGAGGTAAAAGCCAATACTTTAGATTTATTATATTATTAAGTTTAAATAGCAACTTTCCTGCTGTAAACATTACTATTGCTGCTCTAGAAACATTTAGTTATATTTAAAATATTAAATTCTAATGCTGTTCTGATTTATTTATTTTTTAAAGAGGTCATATTCTGCTTTTTCCCTCTCCTTTATTGAGTTATATACCTTTTTTTGTGCATGTAACAGGTTTGCAAAGTGAAAAAGCCCAAAGTGCAGCCCAAAAGGAGTTCCCATCTCCCACAGAAATCTCTGCTCTGAAACTGCCTGAAAACAGCTCGTTTGTAGTCCAGCCCTTTCTTCCGCTTTATGCCGACATCACAAAAAACATACGTCATAATGAATACAACACCGTTGGAAAAACACTGAGCTGCAGCACACCTCTCCTAGTCCTTCCAAATACTAGCTACCCTCCAGGCAGTCAGTGGACATAAAGTTGTTAGTGTGATGTAGAGACAGAGCTCAGTTAAAACTTGAAACTGAAAGATACTTTTGTTACAGATTAATAACTCACCACTCTGAAACTCTTGCACCAGTCCATGTTGCCAAGCTGGTCGGCAACATGTACAGCTGAACTGAAGCCATGTTTACCAGCTTTTCAGGACCCGCCCTACTCTGCTTCTGATTGACTAGTTGTCCTTAACAAGGAACTGCATATGTGCAACTCCCAACAAAGATCATTTACAAGATGTATCACTCCATAGCTAAACGAAGCTAGGTGGTGAAAAGAGGAGCTGCAGCAATGTGCAGTATGAAAAAAAATATGGTGTTTTTTGAAATTTAACCATGTAAACCTGTTCTGGTACAACCCCTAAATAAAACGATCAACCTGAAAATGAACATAATATGACCACTTTAAATAATGTATTTTTTTTAAAGCAATTATTTAGTAATGAAAAAGACCCTGAAGACATCTTCATGCCAAGATTCAGACATAGTCATAGCACAACTTACTGGAAACAGGAAATTACACATTTTATGCTTTCATATACTCCTCCTAGCATGTTCTCTAGTTCCACCTCAAATTCGGACAGAAAGCCTTAAGACCTTGATGGTGCTATTTGTGAAGCTTGTGAGTTTTTAATGAACGGCGTCCCTGGCATCGAAATTTCACCATGACACAGCAAGTTGTTGTAACTTGAGTGTACATGATCTATCTGCCCCAAAAATGTTTCACAAGATTCCAGGCTGGAACACATCTACATGCCAATTACGAGTTATAGTCATTGCACCACCTACGAGCAACAGGTAGGAAGCCTTGTGTGGCACTCAACATTTGATTTACATAAAATTTTCACAGTGTGGTCCACGTGTGATGTACTGGAACATAATTTTGTGGTGTTCTCTTGCACCACATAGTGGGATAGGAAGTGACGTTTAATTCCTCAACAAGGTGTCCAAAACACATGAAAATTCAGAGCAGTGTAGACCGACCTCCAGACAGTGCACACCAGGTAGTTTCTTTTGAGTACCAGATACTTTCTGGTGTGCTCAAGAATACTGATTTTTGTTTTTTTTGCCCAAAAAATTTCTCTGTCCAATTCAGAGAACATGTAGGGGAGAGCCACAGCGATTTTCTCGGAGCCCATACAAGTCTGATATGCCAAACTACCTCAGCACATACAGTCCACAGTCCTTAACAGAAGCGAGAAAAATCAGATGGATACGTCACACTTTCACTCAAGCAACAATTTTTTTGAATGACGAGTTGTGTTTATTGTTTCATGTGTCATGGTCATGATCATATGAAAGATTATTTAGTATTTCAACACGTCCTGAAGTTTTAAATGTCAACGTTTTACAGTTTAGAAGCTAGTGAAGTTTAAACGTCAGGAGTCACTGTTGTAGCCATGCTACCTTATTTAGATATGGCGGGAGGTCACTAGGCTGCAGGCTATACCACTACAATACTTACAGCCAAATAACAGGGTCTTCACAGTAGACCAGGAAAACAGGCTGCAGATAAAAAGGGCATAAAAAGGGCAGCCAATATCTAATCCAAACGTGCATTAGCTATTGGATATTCTAGTTAGCTTGCTAAGTTATAATTATGCTATTTTTAATTAACATAATGAGTTTGCAATTACGTATTAAGAAGGGCAGTGTCAAGCTTTCTAAATAAAAACAAGAATAACTATTTAAATTTGTGTCTCTCTCTCTCTCGATATATCTATATCTATATATCTCTATATATATCTATCTCTCTATCTATCTATCTATCGGGATAGATAGATAGATAGATAGATAGATAGATATGATATATATATAGTATTTTATTGTAAAAAAAACAATCACTGCTAGTACACACCTCCAAAATATGATTGAACTGAGCCTTGAGTTCAAAGTAAGGTTTGGATTTGAGGATGACCTTCTTCAAGGTTTTCTGGAGGGTCTGGACTCGAGCCTCTGCATCCTGGCAGAGCTGTGTGACTCGTTGGTGCTCCCGCTCACTGCGGAGGCGCTCCTCTTCTGCCTCGTTCACCTGACAGCACAGGACATGACAACAGGAACACATACATAAATCACACATTACCTTTTTCCTATACCCCACCATGGCACTAATATTTGATATATAGTGGATGCACAATCAACAGGCTGTTTTCACAGCAGCCATTGTGAAAAGCACAGCTGTTCTAATAACATTAATAATGGCTCTGTTCTATAGGCTATGAGTTTCCCAGTAAGTCACGGTAGTGTGACTGTGAGCCAGCATGCACAATATCCACTGCCTTTTATTTATCTGTTGCCATGGTGAATCATAGCATGAGAGCTCCTTTGATGGCTTTTTTCATTCACCACACCCAATCTGAACTGAACTGGCTCTGATCAGCTGCTCTGGAGTTTTCCATCTCAGGGCTAGTTGACTCAGAGTTCAGGTTTAGGCTCAGAGTTTGTTAAACCTGCTTTCTGAAAAAGGGCCTCGTACAAAGACTGGAAAACTTTTAATTCAGAAATCATAGTTTGGAAAAATAATTTTAGCATATTTCATGTATTGCAATAAAAGTGCCAACTAATGGCCGATTGGCGTCACATTTTGTGCAGACCCTCAGCACAAGAAACTACTGGTTCAAATTCTGTGTTAATCAGACAGACCTAGTATGTGGAGATATATCACTTCTTTTGTGTGATTTCAAAATTTTTATTTTGTATTACAGTTATTTTAATGACCTCTGACCATGAGAGTCCATAGATTCTACTTGCAAAGTTAAAAAATTACAAATTTGTGCAGCTTAGACTAAGGAGGAGACATTTAGCAAAAAAATATTATAGGCCTTTATCACAAGATGCTACTTAATTTAGGGAATGTGTGCATGTAAGGTGATAGAATGTGCAACATAATATATGGGAGTTACAGGCCAAACACACATACCTTGATTATAGCGCCACCTGCTGGTGGACATGTATAATTTTTGGCTTCTGTCGTGAGCACCATTTTATACCACCCCTGTCTGATAAAAAGTAGTTTAGAAAAAATATTTTAGCTTATTTCATGAGTTTTCAACAAGAGCACCACCTAATGACCAATCAGCACCAATTTTGTTTTTGCACAGCCTCCATGTGGCACAGGAAACTACTGGCCCAAGTTTTGTGTTAATTGGACAGACCTATGTCGAGCTACAACATCACTTCCTGTTCGTCTGCAACATACCTAAAAGGCGTTTACGTTGATTATGGCGTGATCTCCTGGATCACGTGTCATTTTTTGCTTCTGTTGGGGCTGGTATAGACTGTGCACCAGGCCCTTCAGGTTGGTCCTCAGGCTTGGACCCCTAATCAGCAGTGTTACATAATTGTGATTGGCCGAGGTGCAAATATTTTTCTTGTGTCCCCCGCCCCAAAAGTAGGCTCGTGTAAACACAGGCATCCAGACACACGACACCATGCAACTGCAGACCTGCAGTCTTTGATCAGCACCACGGACAGCAGCCGAAGTCCCAAGTCTATCAAAGCAAATCTAACATCCCTGCTCTGCACTCAAACCACCACAGCCTGCTGTCTCTGAATACCAAACTACAGAAATAGCTTTAGCCAGCCTACAGTAACAAATCAACACAAAGTAGCTGACACAATATGTCAATAACCACAGAACAGATATGATAACCTTCCATGCAGCATTTGTTCCACGGGAGCCCTTTTTAACCAACTGGGCCCCAGTGCCATGCACTCCAATGCCGTCAGTACGTACACCCCTGTCCCTAATGAATGCTTATAATTATCCCAACGATCTCCTTTGACTTTCCAAAACTTCTCAGTTGCTGGAAAAGGTGTACAAAGTTTGTCCATGTAGTGGTTTCTCTTAAGTTAACATTGCTTGCTTGAACATTCACAGCATCATCTGGTCTCAAATAGTTCTCACCATTGGTTCATTGATGTGTTCATATTCATTCACATAACCATTCATTTTTGTGTCTAGTGGATTTTAGTTGTGTTTATGTAGTCAGTAGTTTATTGTTTGTGTAGTTAGTAGTTTAATACACATTATATGAAGAACTTGGTTATGTTGTGGTTTGTGTGTATGAAGTATTCCGGTAACTGTACATAAGACAAGAACTTTCATAGCATCGCTCTGACATATGAATATGATTTCTTAATTTCATCTGGGTCCAGATAACTTTGGGTTCTAAGAATGCTCTGTGTTGGTGTGAATTTGACTCTGATTCTATCAAACTGTTCCAAAATGGGATTGTTCTTTATAAATTTTAATTAAGAGGGGGAACTGGTCCAGCTCTACTCTGCACCTGTGGTTTCTATGCACTCTCAGTATATCTTTACAAACTCAGCTGGACTTGAGCCCCGGGACTCTGGTTTATGGCTCCAAACTTCAAATCCATTTAAATGGATTGGCTCAATGACACTTGGAAATGCAATAAGCTCTACAAGCTTTTCTGGCAATGGCCACTTTCAGCTCTTACAAAATGTCCTGAAGCAGCGGAGGTTGGGCCTAGGTATATATACTCCGACTCAGTGGTGTTATTTTTAGGTGTCCAGGGGGCTGGGGGCCACGTATACACCCTTTTGAAAGCGCTCTGGTTTTTAGGGGTCCGCTGGCAGGGTGAGACAACGTTCTGGTCTGTTGTTCTGCCCATCAGGTCACCGTGCATGTCATGTGACTGAAAACTATGAATTGTTTTCGTTCTCATTATTCTTTCTTCTTTTTTCTCCTTCTTTTTCTCTGCTAAAACTGTTCGTGAACAAAAAGTGCCAGACCAAAACTCACAAAAAATTGTGTCACGCCGTCAATCTATATTTTTCAAAATATGCTAAATCAATTCATCTATTTGTCCACAAGTCTTCATTTAAATGCTATCAAAAGTGGCACAGACATTCTCTAGATAACAAGTGAAGGGTTTTTAGGATCAGTCACACAGCGAGTGTGCTGTGAGAATTTGAGTGAGCCACAAAATATACTGTAGTTGCGTTGTAGGGCAACATTTTTAGAAATCTGTATTATTACAAATTTTAGCATAATTTTGAATTACTTACACTGGCAGATAACTGAAATTACAATAAGCCTGTTTCCCTTGTTAAAAGGTGCAATCACTCACTGGGCTCTTTTCTCAGAGAATGCCAAAGTCCGCTGATGTTGCCTATATAGAATACACCACAATTCCAGGGTCACGGAGAAGTCTGGGTGATTACCTTGGCAGTGGCATGGTTGAGCATCTCCTGCCAGGTTGGGTCCATGGTGTTCCTGTCAGCCAAGAGGCCCTGCTCTGCCACATAAACCATCTCTCTGGCAGCAGTGTGCATGGATACGGCCCTCTCATATCTCAGAGCTGCCTTCTGGGTTTCTTGTTGGGCCTGGGGGAACAGACAGCAGCAGCTAAATAAAATTCTAACCAATCAGAAAATCAGCTGCAACAATAAAAAGGGTGCACTCAATTAAAGGCTGCAAGGAGAGTGGAGCTGGTCTTTCCAGCAAACAGTGTTTTTCCAACTCCTTTTAACTTGGCACTGTTAGCTTACAGATCACATACTGTGCATATATGCCGTTGGGCCTTAAACACAACCACACAACAGAGAGGAACTTTAAAGCTCCTGCTTTACATGCTCTCTTTGTTCTGACCATGTGTGTTCATGCTTGTACACGTGAGACACACTGAAGCTTAACAAAGAAGCTCACACATGCGCATACACACACACACACACACACACACACTTCTTCTTTAGTTTAGTGCATTTCATTAAGATTTGATCTTGTGTGTTTTGCTTGTGTTTATCTTTTAAATAAATGCTTGGATGCGTGGATACACATGCTGATTAGTTCAATGTTGCATAAGAGTGAAAATATCGCCAACCTCTTCTGTGTAGAAATCCAAATTCCTCAACCTACTAGTTAATGACAGTAATTTTGGTTATAGTTATTAGTTAGTGTATTTTATGAGACTAAATAAGGTAATTAGCTATTGATTTTCTCTTCTTTAAGAGGGTGGCCCAAGCTTATTATTAATATTATTATAATTATTATTATTATTATTATATGATTTAATCTAACTATTGATGCCATTTAAACCCTAATTCCCAACACTGCTTTCTGTCTCCCTTGCTCATACTTTTGCAACATCCCAAATTATCCAATTTTTAGAACTTTGAAATGCAAAAACCCTCTAATTTTAGAGCTGCAAACTCATTATGATGAAAAAGGTGACAAAGATCCCCCCAACCCTCACACACACACACACTCTCATAAATTGGGTTTGAAATTTCATTCAAATAAAAAAATAAAAAATAAAACCTGAGCTAACTTCCGCAATCTCATTCTTTTGATCACTACCCACAGGTCAAGACCATGGGTAAGTGTTGGAATGTAGATCGACTGTCAAATCGAAAGCTTTACCTTCCATTTCAGCTCCATCTTCACCAAAACGGTCTACTATAATGCTCGCATTACTGCTGATGCCACACCAATCTGCCTGTCCATCTCACACACCATTTTGCCGTCAATCATAAACTTTCCGGAGTTTATTCTAAAGAACTTCTTTGAAGCCAACCAAAAGTCCTTATCCACATTCTCCCCAAACTCATCCCACCAGCGTTTTTGCTTTAGCAACCACAGAAACGTCAGCCCAGCTCTTCTGGCCTCCTAGTACTTATGTGCTGCTTCAGGAGACCCCTATGCCAACAATCTTTGGCCTATGGCGTTCTGGTACCAAGTACACCTATGAACAACCTTATGCTCAAACATGATGTTCGTTATGGCCAATCTAAGGCCTAGCACAGAAGTCCAATAACAAAACACAACTCTGGTTGAGATCAGGCAGGCCATTCCTCCCCATCACCGCCCTCCAGGTTTCTACATTACTGCCTACATCAGTGTTGAAGTCTCAGATCAGAATAATGGAGTCCCTAGACGGAATCCCTTCCAGCACACACACTGGAGATGGAGAGAGCCCAGTCCCTCTCCAGGAGTCAGTGCTATCCATAAAGGTTAGTCCAACTATATCTAGCTGGTACCGCTTCATCTCTCGTACCAGCTCTGTGGTCGTATTACAGTAAAAATTATGAAAGGCATCAAGACAGATTGGCTGCTTGAATGTTATTTGTGCCTTATGAGCATAACAGTGGATGAATCTTGCATTGGGGCAGTATGATTTCACTAAAGCCCGCACTTCACCTTGCTGTCATCTCTCGTACCAGCTCTGTGGTCGTATTACAGAAACTTCCTAACTTGCAGATCCTTTCTTAAAGGTTAAGTGTGTAAGATTTAGTGGCATCTAGCGGTGAAGTTGCAAATTGCAACCAACTGTCGAGTCTACCCCCCACTTTCAAAGCTACAGTTGCTGACACAGGACAAAAGGTGTTGTCTTCAGAGACAGCAGAGAGTTGCCATTCAAGAAATGAGGTTTCTTTAGGTAGATATATCAAGAAATTCTATTTACTTAATTATTCAGTTAAAGTATATGTTCTTGCAACTTGGCCACTGACAGATAACATGGAAAATGTAAGCCACGATTGTGTTCTCACTGTTTCTGCACCATATTTATATATTTTTTTTAAATATATTTTAGATATGCAAATGTGCATATGCTATTGTAGCTTACCTGCGCTTGAAGACTCAACAACTGACCTACTGGCAGTGTGGATGGGGTTTTACCACCATTTTTGCTCAGTCCTTGGAGCGATAATCTTTGTCACCAGCCAGAATTTTACTGTCGCCGAGGAGATTTCCATTCATTCTGCCAGCATGTAAGTCCTGGTATAGACACTCCTGGAGGATGTGTGCATCATATAATGGTATCGCAAGCAATCTGAACACTGCCTGAATGATATCTGTTGTGGTTGACATAAAGACATTCATGTTCAGATAGCGGATGGATCCGGATGAGTCCTATTGATGCAGCCCATGATGCCAGGAATGCCGGAGACTGTTTCATTATCCAATCAATTGCTTCTGTCCATTATAAAAACCTATTCATTGTAAAGTCTATACATGAGATGAGTGCCATTCTGTTAAAGCTGTGTTGTTATAGAAACAGCCAAAATGTTGACTTTATCTCTGCTCCCGCGTAAAATTTACGCCCAATCCTAGCGTAAAGCCTAGATGCAACCACCATAACTATGAGGTCAGACTAAAAACGCTAAGGTATAACCGATTTAGCTTAAAACCATCTCCAGGATAAACTAGCTCCAGGATCTATACTCATAAGTTGGTGTTGCTGTTGAATTGTATTGTGGTGTACTCAGTGGAGGATTAAAGTGATCATGGGCCCCTAGGCTACACTTTTTGTTGAGTCCACTATCATCTCATACAATCAAATAAAGGGAAAACTGGGTAATTCAGTGACATGCGTGGGGAAACTTTTAGAGGAAGCCTTATCAATTTATGCTTTTTCTTATTATTCTTATTATATCTGCATGCTCCGTACATGTATAGCGCCTTTCTAGTCTTTTCGACCACTCAAAGCACTTTTACACTACATCTGCATTCACCAGTCACACACATTCATACACTGAGCCTAAGTGCTCAAACAGAAACTAACATTCACACACATTCATACTGGCGGAACAGCCGCCAGGGGCAAATCGGGGTTCAGTATCTTGCCCAAGCAACCCGCTCTACCATGGGTCACGTTGGCACCCATTCCTATTTCTATCGCCACCCGACTAAAACGGATGCTCTGCTTTTTATTTACCCATTGCCGTGGTGAATCGTAGTATCAGAGCTCCACTGATGATGGCTTTTTTTCATCCCCACCCACGCAAGCTCAGAGTTTGTTAAGCCTGCTTTCTGAAACAGGGCCCAGGTAAGCGGGACCTATGGGTGCTGTCCGTGTTGCTGAATTTCTGCACATAACAAACGCAATAAAACTATTTGGGGGCCGACATGCAACTAAATCGAGGTAAGCAAGGCACAATAAGCAACATAACCACATAAGAAATTGCACACATAGCTACATGGGCAGTTAGGGTTAGTAAAAATTATGAAAGGCATCAAGACAGATTGGCTGCTTGAATGTTATTTGTGCCTTATGAGCATAACAGTGGATGAATCTTGCATTGGGGCAGTATGATTTCACTAAAGCCCGCACTTCACCTTGCTGTCAACATATGCAGCTTGCTCCATCATTAGTCTGACAAATTATTTATTTGTGGGACTGTAGTTCCCGATGACTCTCATCATAACTGATGCAAATGTAACTATGGTTGAATCAACACCTTACTAACAGTTTGAACAAAAACTCAACATTAGAACCTTCATGAAGCCAGGATTTATTTAGACTGCACTCATTTCCACCTTTTCAACTGTCAACTGGCTGTATATCTCTTATACTAATCCATGCACATACACTGAATACTCATGTGCAGCTACAACACGCACCTCTTTGGCAAGTCTTCGGGCTTCATAGTAGGGCCTTGCTTTCTCAATGCAGGCACCGAGCTGGGAGCCCTGAGCATTGAGCTTCCTGGCAGAATCAGTAAGAATCCTCCTGTAGCTGGACCTGGCATCCTGAAAGAAGCCGCAAACAAATAACAAAACATTGCAAATGACTTTCCATGCAGCAACACTATGTGAACGCAGTGGTTGTGATAACAGTGGTTGTGACTCCAAGTAAAACAAACATTTCTCACATCCAGCTGCAGCTCCAGCTTGTTGATCTCATCGCTGGCCTGGTTGAGGTGCTCCAGCTCCTCCTGGAATCACAGAGGAAAGACAGATTTTATTAAAAGCAGAATACAAACAGAAAGGCTGGGAAAATCCTGGGAATAAAGCAATAATGAAGTGTTCAGTGGAGGGACATTTGCAGCCCAGAGATGCAGGCTTGAGGCTGCAGCTGCCCATACCAAGTACCAGTCTGTGGAATGAGCTGACTAACGTTACAGCCATGTAATGTTGTGATGTTTATTACTGCCTCGCTTAGTAAATATGCCCTATGTTCATATATAAAACTAGATGATGTGTAAAGAAAACTCAGGATATCGTCAGATATGTATGACTAACTGTTACTTCTGTAAAAATGCAAATTAACATGCCTGAATTCTTGGGTCCAGTTCCTCCTCGTGTTTGCCAGCATCGTCTTCCCCTCCGGCTTTAAAATGCTTCTCGTCGTCCTCACACTGCGCTTTCACCTCCTCCGCGGTGTCTTCGTCAACTCCTCTTCGCTTCAGCATCACGGTGCTCCCGTCCCCGCCTTCCGCCTCTTCCCCTGGGGTCTCCTCCCGCAAACCGGTCGGTTTAGGGCACCACGCGGCGTTCGGAATTTCACGCCAGGTCCCCGGCTCCATTAGCGGCCTGTCGTCCGGCTGCCGTTTTTATTGCGTTAGTCTCCCGGAACAATGCGGTATCATTGTTTACACCAGTGGGAGAAGTGCTACTGGTAAACAATTAATACTGTAGTACTTAAATGTCCCGCTTTGTCTGCAATACAAACAGCACTGCCTGGCTAATGCTAGCCCCTTCGTAGCCTGGCTGTTTGAGTCGTGTAGGCTGCACATGACAGTTAGTGGCACTCCGCATTACTCTACCTTGCTCAGATTGTTTTCTCATAAATGTAGTATTTATTTTATTGTGATACGTCTTGGTAGTTTTATGTACTTATTAAAAAATATATATAGGGACAATCAGGACAAGCAATCATCTTTTATATGTGAATAACCGCACTCTTCTACTTGGTAGATAGTTAGGTAAGGGCAATTTCACATACCACACGTATAATTATGTTTAAATGCCTTTATTGCACGTTTAATACTTTCAGTGCAGATGTCATCATGTCCATTTCCATAATGTCTGATCAGTGCGAATCCTGCCTGACAATAAAGCATTGTTCATGTAACAGCAAGATCCATGGACAGTTTCTGACCAGAGGCTTTGTTAAGCCTCACCACTGCCAGAAAGTATAACAGCTGGTCAGGTAACTTTGGAGTGGGATGTGGTCTTTTCCCAGGGGAATGTTACCAAAAGGAATTGATCCTTTAGTTTTATGAGCCCTGATTTAAGAGCAGGAGGCTTGCTAATTTTGAACTGAACATGACCACTTAAAAATTTCGATTCAATTTGCAGGTGGAGCTGGAAGTTTTGCCACTACCTTGTATCCATAAGCAGCTGTATGGTTCCACCATGTTGGACTGAAAACTTCCCAGAGAATGAATCAACTGGCCTGTGCAAGTTGTGTTTAACTATTATGTTCCCTTTTTTACCTACCACAGTAACCTGAGATGGGGCACTACCAAGTAAGGTCACTTGTTGACATCACTAACTCAGTAATGACATGTACAGTGTGTAAAAATGTAATGCTACATAGGGCTGCACAGTCAGTTGCTGCAAGTAGTGCCCAGTTGCAGCAAGGGGATAAAGTGTACTGCAACACCAGATTAAGACCTCACTCATTTCCATGCTTTAGGTACAGTATATAAGATAGGATTTCATCATTGGCTCATCATTGAAGGGCGGCATGTCAAAGGGTATGGGTAAATGCGATGTAGTGTAAAAAGCACAGGGTAGTCACGAAGACTAGAAAGGCGCTATACAAATACAGAGCATTTATGTGCAAATTACATAACTACTCAAAAAGGAAAGAATGAGCAGACTTGTATATTCTCTTCTTATGACCATTTAATCCAAAATACACAAAGTCAGCATTTTATGAAATATACAAAATAATTATATCATCTCCATGTTCTTAAAACACTGACAGCAATGAACAACTGTTGCAGGCAGAAAATCCTGATGTCACAGGAATAATAGTCATCAGGTGTGACATCACTGCATCGGTTTTTTCTCGGACCGGTCACGTGTGAGACTTCTGTCGTTTCCAGAATCTCTTGACCTCGCTGTGTCCCTGTGGTGACACCACCATCACCCTGTGAGCCACATCCTGCCACACCAGACAGCCCAGACCCTGCATAACAACACATTCATTAAACAGCAGCCGGCCACTAGAGTGACTGTATCAGCACATCACTAACAGGGATATATACATACACACATACACACTATCTCACAAAAGTGAGTACACCCCAAAGTGAAAATGTCCAAATTGGGCCAAAGTGCCAATATTTTTTGTGGCCACCATTATTTTCCAGCACTGCCTTAAGCCTCTTGGGCATGGAGTTCACCAGAGCTTCACTCCTCCATGATGACATCACCGAGCTGGTGGATGTTAGATCTTGTACTCCTCCACCTTCCGTTTGAGGATGCCCCACAGATGCTCAACAGGGTTTATGTCTGGAGACATGCTTGGCCAGTCCATCACCTTTACCCTCAGCTTCCTTAGGAAGGCAGTGGTCGTCTTGGAGGTGCGTTTGGGGTCGTTATCATGTTGGAATACTGCCCCTCGGCCCAGTCTCTGAAGGGAGGGGATCCTGCTCTGCTTCAGTATGTCACAGTACATGTCGGCATTCTTGGTTCCCTCAATGACCTGTAGCTCCCCAGTGCCGGCAGCACTCATGCAGCCCCAGACCAGGACACTCCCACCACCATGCTTGAGTGTAGGCAAGACACACTTGTCTTTGTACTCCTCACACGCTCGACACCATCTGAACCAAATAAGTTCATCTTTGTCTCATCAGACCACAGGACATGGTTCCAGTAATCCATGCCCTCAGTCTGCTTGTCTTCAGCAAACTGATTGTGGGCTTCATCTTCATCATCTTTAGAAGAGGCTTCCTTCTGGGACGACAGCCATGCAGACCAGTTTGATGCAGTGTGCGGCATCTGGTCTGAGCACTGACAGGCTGACCCCCCACCCCTTCAACCTCTGCAGCAATGCTGGCAGCACTCATACGTCTGTTTCCCAAAGACAACCTCTGGATATGACGCTGAGCACGTGCAATCAACTTATTTGGTCGACCACAGCGAGGCCTGTTCTGAGTGGAACCTGTCCTGTTGAACTGCTGTATGGTCTTGGCCACCGTGCTGCAGCTCAGTTTCAGGGTCTTTGCAATCTTCTTATAGCCTAGACCATCCTTATGTAGAGCAAAAATTCTTTAAACCAGATCCTCAGAGAGTTCTTTGCCATGTTGAACTTCCAGTGACCAGTATGGAGGGAGTGAGAGCAATAACACCAAATTTAACAACCTGCTCCCCATTCACACCTGAGACCTTGTAACACTAACGAGTCACATGACGCCAGGGAGGGAAAATGGCAAATTGGGCCAAATTTATACATTTTCACTTAGAGGTGTACTCAGTTTTGTTGCCAGCGGTTTAGACATTAATGGCTGTTGGATGTATTTTGAGGGGACAGCAAATTTACACTGTTATACAAGCTGTACACTCACTACTTTACACTGTAGCTAAGTGTAATTTCTTCAGTGTTGTCACATGAAAATATATAATCAAATATTTAGCATTTGTAGCAATAAGGTGTAACACAGCAGTCATCTGTCACAGCAGAATGTACAGAGACAGAAAACCATGTAAATTATTTATAAATCTAAACAGATGGGTGCTGATGATACAGTGGATAAGAAGCATGCCTCTGGTGTGAGAGACCCTGGTTCAATTCCCCACCAGTGTGTCCCTGAGCAAGACACTTAACCCCTCGTTGCTCCAGAGGCGTGTGACATATATAGCAATGGTAAGTCGTTTTGGATAAAATTGTCTGCTAAAATGAATTTATGTAATGTCAATAATTAATAAATTATTATATTATAGACAGGAAACAAAATCCAACCTGAGCTCTGTCTCGCAGCACCTCAAAGTCAGCCTGGGAGAGGAACTGGTTGTAGAGCACTCCTGAAGGAGACATGGACATCAACAACACAGACAGGGGAGAAATTAGTTTAAAGGCCAGCACAACATCAATACTTATCACTATTTGAGTGTAGAAGAGCTCAGACCGCAAGAGTTAGAGCTCAGCTCTACTAACTGAGCTATCTGTCAGTCATAACCTTCAGGCAGCACAAAGGAAGACGGCCTTTGTATCGATACGTATGAGACTCAAATCTATCAGTTCACAGCAGCTGTAAAGCTCAGAGCCCACCAAACACAGAGTCACTTCTCCACTAGGTTTCCTTTCCGTTAATGGATTCTAAATTCCTCAACACTGTTTCTAAAACATATACATTTGTTACAATACAAATAAATGTTTTTATCATGTTACTGAAGCTGAAAATACAGTAATCTCAAATAAAAGTCAGTAATCAAATAAGAGTTTGAGTAACACAAACAAAGTCACTTCACTAATGAAGACTGGGTAAAAAGCTAACCAGGTAAATTCAACATAATGTACATTTCCACAGTACTAATCCCATCAACATACTCACCACTGTGCTGCTCTAACTTTCTCTTTTTAAACACAAATACTGTTTTCATTCCCCAATTATCTCCAGTCACATCTAAATCCCATTTTTAATCACTTTTAAGCTACTGCCAATAAAATTCTAACACTTCCTGCATTTGTTTCACATTAAAAGCCTGTCAGGAACTAGGGGATTAAGAGATTATGCCCTTCAAGCTGCTGGAAGGCTTTTAATGTGAAACATCTGTGCAGGAAATCTTCGCTTTCACTGATGCTACCTTAACGACTAAAATAAAACAGCAAAGTAGGACTGACGACTACTACTACTACTACATAGACTACAGTCCTTCCATTTTATTTCAATGACAGATTTCTGTTGATGAACATTTTTTTACTGTTCCTCAAACAATTATTTTCAAACTAATTTCCAACTCAGCAACTCTTCCTACAAATATTGCACATTTCTTCAAGTCTTTCAAGACAGACAGGGATTTTGACCTTTGAGCCACTGGTTTAATTTAAAACGTGATCAAAAAGTAGAAGTGACTGCAATTTCTTAGTAATACACTTTGAGTTTAAAAAAAAACAAAAAAAAACGGAGGCAGCGTTGTGAGTATGACATGACTGTTGTTGTACTGATGGAATTAGTACATTATACTGACGGACTTTCTCAAAACAACAGGAATACATGGAGGCAGTGCTGAGTTTGCATTAACATCAGAACAGGAACAGATCACAAAACAAGGAGACGTGTTATTAAAATATGACAAAATATACTTATAAAAACATGGGAGATTAGAAATAATGGCTCGTCACCCATAAACAAAAATGTATTCAAGACAAACATCTCTTCTCAGGGCTTGCGCGCGCACACACACACTAAAAAGTAAGCATGCTCACCCTCTGTGAACTGCAGTCGATCTCTCTCCAGCTCCCAGAGTCTGATCTGATCCGTTATGGTTGGAGGCAGGACTGGGGTCTAAGGCACAGAGATGGCAGATGAAGACACTGTGCAGACCCGTTAAAGGCCAACCAGTCATTATTATTAGAGTTAAGTGTGAAAAGAATGGATGGGTGTACCTGTTTGAGCATGACAGGGTGAGCTCTGGTCCTTAGAAAGTGGATAATCTGGAGTGTAAAAACAAAAGATTTATTACACATATTTAGATGGATTAGACCATTTTTCAAGGAAAATCTGGTCCACACAGACGGTTAGATGATAAACATTTCCATGACATTTGATACAGATACTAAGCACAAAATATGCATTTTCTATTTAACACATTTTTCTGCTACCTACTACCCACGTAGATACAGGATACTGAGATGAATAGGCACATTTTAGCCTTTGGGGACAAAAAAAACCCACCTATCCACCCACCATACCACATTCCTACAGTATAAGAACAATTGGACTTCTGAGGTATTTTTTAACATTTTTGGTTAAATCGCAATGTAAAGTGTACCTTTGCACACCAAGTCAGTATTATTCGTCAGTTAAATATGTCCATTACTTGTCTGGTTGCACTGGCTGTTTTTCAGTATGTTCATGATGGGTCAGGTCGTTTAAGCTTCTCTTGCTCCATCCTACAGTAAGATGAAAGGCTGTACTTTACAGAGTACATAATATGTATGCCTTAGTTATTTACAGATTTTTTAATTTTAAGGAATGCTAGGATTTTTAGATACGCTCCCTGATTTTATAATGTAACGCGACTGTGGCTCAGGTGCCGTGTTACACGAGTCCAGTTGGCCCCTTGCAGCCTCTTCAATTAGTGTAAGAAGTATGAGTGCTGTAAAGCACTAGTCAGTAGACCAGAAAAGCTCATTTACCAAAATATACATACCTTAACAGTGAGTTTGGGAGGCAACTGACACTATTACCGCACCATATATGTTTCACTATTACTATATCTAATATTTTTGTTGTTTTAGTGAGAAAAGCCTAAATATGAAGGGTATTTACAATGGATTTATGGTACAGTTCTACTGGTCAGGATTTTCCCCCTTAAATACCCCAAACTTCCCCTGTAGTAGTTGAAGTAGTACTACAGTGGGTGCAGTAGTGGAGTACCTGTTGTGCTGTGATGCCGTTGGCGATGGCCTGTTGCACTGACTCCCTTGTAACCTGAGCCACCACTACATTAGGGAAGCGATACAGCATTTCACTGAAGAGAGCCACCAGAGCGATCTGGAGTTCTGAGTCTGGGATGGGCACATAAAAGCAAACAAGTCAGTACAGGTACTTGTGAAGCATTTTTAAACACACTGGATACAAAGGTGTAAAGTTATAGAGGTGCTGGTAGGTATATACTTTGGGCAGAGCCTGACTAGCAGTTTCCCCCTGCAGACAGTCTTTATGCTAAACTAAAAAAAACAAAAAAACATCCTGACTCCAGCTCTGTAACACACAGACATGAGATCCATCTGAACATCTGGTGTTGCCAAATTCCAGTATATACAGCAAGTCTACCAGCCTTCTCAACAACTGTTTCATATGAACAGAGACCTGAACATTGTGTCAAATGTATTTATTAGTGTGAACATGCAGCACAAAAAGCTTCCAGTGTTCAGACATACTTGTGTAGGCGTAGATACGATAATTGGTTTCTACCACAATGAAGCCTGCATCTCCAGTACCAGGAGTGGAAGCCAAGTTAGAGGACGACGAAGAGGAGCTGCTAGTGACTCCTGCAGCCAGACTGATTGCCAGTCTGGTGGGGTAGTACCGCCTTGACTTCCTCTGATGATAGAATACAGTACAATCACACAACTATACATACTTATCATAACTATATGAAGTATATCTGAACAAACTTCACCAAATTCTAATTGTTTAGTTTCATACAGATATTTTGAACTGAGTGAACAGCGAATCTGCTTTTATAAGTCACATCGGGACAAAATTACACCCATCACATCTGGCTGTCAGTCAGTCTACCTTAATGTAAAAGTTTTATGGCTTAAAAGACATAAATATACCTTTTCACTTTTCTGAGCTTTTATTGCGAAGTCTATTGCAAACAACCAGAGGATTAGTTGAATTTGAGGTGAATATTTTATTGCAAATTCAAGTAATTCCAACTGAATCCTTAAAAATGGTCAAATGTAAGAATGCTTTCTTTTACTGATCACTACACTTTTCTGTAAAGTAATCCAATTCAGAACCAGGATTAGTATTCCAAATTAAATAAATTCAAACTAGTAAACTTCATTAAGGCCTGATTCACAAGTTAACATGCTTTTTTAATTTTTAAATATTAACAAACATGTATCACATATCTTCAGAAAAGCTACTTAAAATTCAACAACAACAGTTGTATAATGTCTTGTGTGCATCAGGAGAAGCTTTGTCGGGTCTGAAAAAATAACTGATGATGTCATAGTGATGTCTTCAGCATGGGTTTAAATACACCAAATTTATAACAGGAAGCCTTTTTACTAACTGGAGGTCTGGAGTTTGAAAGACGGGGCATTTAGCCTGCAAAGCAGGGATGATCTTAAGGGAATTGTAGGATCCAGAATCTTGAACCATATCAGGCACTAAAAGTCAGCACATCTGCTGCATCAGAAAAACTTTATGGAAATATGATGAGTACCCCTTTAAAAACATATGTACATGTTTTACAGTATTATTACTGTCAACATACTTTGTATACCTCAGTCATTTCTGGTGCTTCTGTACTGCGCAAGCTGTTATATTTATTATTTATTTATTAAATTTTACTTCATTAACATGTTCTAGAGCTGAATGTTGCTTACACATACCCAAATTTCTGTCCCCTAGTGCTGCTCTTGGTGGGAACTGTTGGGTTTCTGTAAATATCAGTACAGTCTAGACCCGCGCTTTTATGAAAAGCGCTCAGAGATATCTGTTGTTGTAATTTGGCGCTATATAAATAAAATTGAATTGAAATAATTATCCAAACCATTTGCTCCTCTTTTATTTGAATTGCGTGCATCTTTTTTGGTTCATTTTCTAGTGGCAATACGTATAAGTATGTTTTGGTGTATAACATCACTGTTTTTGTACTCCATTGACCCAGCTTCCCCATGAAGATCATTACAGCTGCTTCTCATCTAAAAAGAGACACTGATGCTGACAATATTTTAAGTGTTAGTGGATCTTCCCTCTCCTTCTCAGTGCCTCACCTTCCTCTGGAAGACCAGTCCAAACTCCCGCAGGTGCTGCAGGAAGGTGAGTAATGACTCGCTCATGCCCTCCACTGAGTAATCCTGAGGCACACAGGCAACACGACGTGATCAGTAACAACAAAGAAACAGGAATTTTTAAATCTTCAAACTTTTTATGTTAGCTTTCCACATGCACATGCTCTGAGAATCAAACGGAAGCAAACTGCTGTGCACTCACTCTGCCAAGAGTAGAAAAACTGAGCTGGAATAAGAATGACAAGATCTCCACCAGGTCCATCCCTCTGGACTACAAAAGAAAGCATGAAATGTATACAAGTAGATATTCTCAATTAAAAGTGGGTAGTAATAGCCAGCATGAACAAATAAATGTCAGTCGCTAATGACTCTGGTCAATAAACGTGATACATAGGTACCTGAGCAGTTTTAAGGTACTGCAGGGTGAAATACCAAAGCTGGGAGGTTGTGTCCAGAAGGAGGAACTGGAAACCAGCTGAGGTGATGTAGGGTGCCTCTCCCGCCTCACTGACAAACAAAGATGACAGGACAACATCAGGTACAGCATAAAACCTGTGGTCGTGGTCACGAACACTTCAATAAGTCAACCTATAGCTACAGTTCAGAGACTTGAGACAGAGAATGTCTGATTTTCCATAATTCTACATAAATTGAAGAGAAAGTGCTATGGAATGGTCTTATCTGATGCAAATATATAAATTATATTCACTATGCATTTCCTCTGATTCAGGTTTGTATACTTTCAAGAACTGACCGTTGACCAACCCCTTCCCCCTATAAGTGACTGTCCAGTCATAGATTAGCAATTAAAGCAGTTACGAGACATGGCAGGTCTGTCAAACTTTAGATGGTTGTAGTAAGAGAGTGTTTATAATGCGGTGTCTGTTTTATCCCCTTTTCAAAACCCAAATCACAAGAGTGAAAGTGTAAGGAATGGTTTAAAGAGAGCATATATCTGATCAAATCTAAGCTTCTAATGCTACTGTGCCTGGCTAATTAGCATATTAGCTAATCATTTTCTTTTAAAAGGGGTTACCAGGATTTGGCATAGTTTACCAAGATGAATTTTAATTTTCCTCATCCTCCAAACCTTTTCCCATGTAAAAGTGACACATAGTTTGAAAATACGTAGAATAAAGTTAACCTCTGTGTTGCTTGTCCCAAGTGCATTTCTACAGCAAACATCTGAATGAAAAACATTCTGATATGTATAATTCTAGAGCTAACATATTATATTGCTATTGTGTCTTAAATCAACAACCCATCATTTCCAGTGCTTTTTGTGGAAATCTAGTTTGCTTTTATAAAAGGTAAAGTTGACAAATCTAGCAAGCAGCTAGATTTTAAAAATATCCAACCAAAAAAATCCCAACCCTTTAAACCTCCACCCAAAGCCACTCAAAACACATTCATGTGCAATAAGTGCACGGTCAGAGTGCGTGCAGGTAGATCGGCAGGTAGGCCGGCCAATCATTTCCATTCAGGCCGAAAAAAATGATTGGACGGTCTTATTACAGGCCTGCAACAACCACAGATGCCGCCTGATTTTTAAAAGAAAATTCCAGAGCATCGATTGCTGTCAGGTTGTAAAGAGAATTTCAACAAATATAACATAGAAATTCTTCTGAAATACATAACCTACTAGCTCGCTTTAAAGACCAAAATATGTAATGAGCGAGTCAATTTTACACTATAAAAATAAACTTGTTAGTCCTCTCTACTATTACTACTACTACCACCGTGTACCTTTTCATGAGGCCTGCTTGAACCAGCAGCTGTGCCAGGTCCTGACTGACAGCAGCACAGGGTGAACCCACCATGAAATGCAGGATGACCTCCCAGCGCTCTATAGCGTAGCGGTCAAGACTCTCAATGTCCCGTGCGTGGCGGTCAGGACCCAGAGTGCTCCCCTCATCTGCCCATGCTCTGCCCCTGTGTGTCGACACAGCAGTAGAGTCTTTTACTTAAGGTCATAATATCAGCTCAGAAAACTGTTATTAAAGAGGTGGTATTATGCTCATATTCAGGTTCAAAATCTTATTTAGTTGTTGTACCAGAACAGGTTTACATGGTTAAATTTTGAAAAAACACCATCATTTTTTCATACTGCACATTGCTGCAGCTCCTCTTTTCACCCTGTGTTAAAGCTTCGTTTAGCTATGGAGTGATACATCTTGTCTCTAAATGATCTTTGTTGGGAGTTGCACATGCGCAGTTCCTAGTTAAGGACTACTAGCCAATCAGAAGCAGAGAAGGGCGGGTCAGCGAGAAGCAAACACGGCTTCAGTTCAGTTGTACATGTTGCCGACCAGCTTGGCAACATGGACTGGGGCAAGAGTTTCAGAGTGGTGAGTTATTAATCTGTAACAAATGTATCTTTCATCCATAAAGTTTTAACTGAGCTCTGTTTCTACATCACAGTAACAACTTTATGTCCATTGACTGCCTGGAGGGTAGCTAGCGTTTGGAAGGGAGAAGAGAGGCAGCAGGCGGACGTCTTGTCGCTGTGTGCTGCAGCTCAATGTTTTTCCACCGGTGTTTTTGAGGGCATGTCTGACTAGCCGCTTGGCGAGCGTTATGAGGGGCATTTAGCATTCAAGGAAGCGGCTAGACTACAAACGAGCTGTTTTCAGGCAGTGCTTTCTGTGGGAGATGCGAACTCCCTTTGGGCTGGACTTTTTCACTTTGCAACCCTGTTACATGCATTAAAAAAAAGACATAACTCAATAAAGGAGAGGGAAAAAGCTAAAAAGCATAATACCACCTCTTTAAAGACACGCCTTTTAATTAGGAGTCAGCATCATCCTGGGCTGAAATGAACAATGAATGCTGGAAAAGAAATTACAACCATTTTTAGAACGTTAGTATCTGTAATGTCCATATATTTCATTTGGGCTGTTTGTTCCATTATACTGACTAGCTTGCCGTTTCAAAATCACCCCATCAGCCGACTCGACACACGCCCGACCCACGGCGAGCAGCCAAGCCCCAGTCATAGCAATTTGTTTGCATGAGCAAGCTTACATTATCTAAAATTAGCCAGCAAAACATATTACAATATATTTCACATAATGTTAGCTTTGTGTTGGACTCTTGTTGTGCCGGGTACTGATTATAATTTTGTAAATCCTACTATTGTCACTGTCGGTTATGCAGGAAAAAGGGGACTGGACCAGTGGGTTTGAAACTTACAGGCCCCAAGACAATTGTTACGGTCCCTCCTCCAAAAGTTATTTATCAGACTCACAACAAAGCTAAAGACTAAAGTTATATAGTCATGTAACTTGGCAGTAGGCCAACGATAAAACCCCGAGAAAAGCAACGCGAGGATTAAATTTGCGTTTGGTCTGAATACACAGTTGGGCTTCTCCCCTGTAGTTTCAGCTAGGAGATGTGTGCAAGTGGTGAGTTCGGTACGTTTCACAGGCTCTCTTAGCTTTTTCAGTCTAATAAAAAAAATAAATTCAAAATGTCAAGAAAGGAACTATTACACCTTCTGAAAACAAGTTTCTTTCTTTCACCGAACCAAATCGCCTCCTTACCTCATCATAAAACACACTTGATTCAAACTCGACAGAAACAAAATAAATCTAACCAAATCAGTTAAAACAAATTTCGCAGAGTTAGATGTATAAATATTCTGGCTCTACACGCTGTTGCTGCCTCTGATGTCCGACCTCCCTCTTTCCTCTCCCACTTGACGCTCCTGTCCCCGCCTGAACCTGCCGTGTCTTCATTGTCCCTGGAGTCAAGAGTCCTGGTTGGAGCTGCTGTAAATCACATCAATATTGTATTCCCTGTCGTCAAACTTGTCTCCATTGGGTCTCAGATTTTTTTCGGTCTTGGCCCAGCAGAGATCACTGGGAAGCTGCTGAATCCGGTTCCATTGCCCATTCCAGGCTGCTAATAGGGCCGCTAAGTTAGCTGCATGGCTAACTGGGCGGCAGAAAGCAGCAGTTATGACCCCCTCTTTTTCTTCACACACACACCCACACCCAGCTGAACTAGGATGAGAAGGAAGTGGAGGGAAGTGAAACCAAGCATGTAGCAGGTGTGTTTGGTTTTCATTACACCTAGTTTTCTACACATATTCCAGCATTTAACCTTGTACAAACATTGAAAAGTTTTGTGCGCATTAGCTCATTTTCATTGTGGAATGAACAGTTATAAAAACATAGCGAGAATAGTGCTGCAGCCTTGTGATTAAACAGTGTGTCCACAGGGAGTACACCTACCCGCCAAGCAGTGCTATCCTGAGGTTGTCTTTGAACACAGGATTTAAAATGTATCCCTGCAGACCACCCTGCAGCTGTGGACTGTGCCAAAGGCGGAGTCCTGCCAACACTGAGACACATTCATCATGATCCCTGCAAGTAGACACCAGAGACAAAAAAAAATTAACTGGTTATTGCTCTGAAATGTGTTGGTTTTTTTTAGGTGATAAAAGAGCTGCTAACGTTGCCCTTGTAACAACAGAAACAGCAGCAGACAAAGCAGGAAACTTTCAACACTTTGTACTGTGCATAACAATGCAAGAGCGTAATTTGAGGGAACACTGTAGCACAATGTAGAACCGATAACATCAGTAACAACATCCCTATACAGATTACCTTTGGATTGAACCAGAAAGCACAGCTGATCCACATCAAATACAGCTTCTTTGTCAATGCCATTATAAAATGCAATTTTTCCAGTTACATTTATTCAGTTAGTCACAACAGCCTGCTCACTTTAAAGGTTAAAGGTTCAGTGTGTAAGTTTTAGTGGCATCTAGTGGTGAGGGTTGCAAATTTGCAACCAGCTGCTCAACACGCTCCGTCAGCTCTTGTGCTAAATAATATGTGTGGACCTCCATTTGTCAAAATTTCACGTCTCTTCCTCCTATGTGTTCTACATAGTGACGAAACACTCTCTATAGAGCAGTTTGTCCGTTTGGGCTACGGTGGCGGCACAACATGGCGACTTCCATGAAAGGGGACCAGCAGTGCATGATAAAAATGTCTCATTCTAAGGCAATTAAAAACATAACATTATGTAAGGTCTTTATACACCACTGAAAACATAGTTATGTATATTATTTTGCATTTCTGTCAATAGATCCTCTTAAATATTACACACTGAGCCTTTAAGTGTCACAGTAAGTAATAACTGGCCTCATATTACCTGATATAAAATGACTGCAATGAGTTCCACACAGTGAGGCACACAGAATTTACATTTGGGAAAAAGTGAGATGGGTGGCGATGATGTAGTGGATAAGACACATACCTTGGTGTGGGAGACCTGGGTGTGATTCTCACAGTGACATTCACCAATGTGTCCCTGAGCAAGACACTTAACCCATATACAAAAGACATTGTTGCTCCAGTGGCGTGCGACCTCTGACACACATAGCTATTGTAAGTCGCTCTGGATAAAAGCACCAGCTAAATGACTAATTATTAAGATATCCTGAGTTGAGGTTAATTGGAAAAGCTGATTCGGTCTTCTTAGAGCCTGATCAGACAGAGCAGGTAAAAAAAAAAAAGAAAAAGTGGTGTGCTGCCTTTTTTGTTGAAGCCTGCAACTAAACAAAAAAGTAGCTTATAGATACAAAAAATAAAATAACAGGCGGGAATACTTGCTCTGGCTGTGATTGAGGATGAGACGCTGATCTCTAATAGACCCTTGACAGGAAAACTGAGATAAATGTACTTAGGACCATCAGTAAGAGGAGAAATCACAACTTTACCACCAGCTGGTGTAGGAGCTTCGCCTGGATGATGGTCAGTTCAAGGCTTATGTTGATTGAGGATGAGTCTGGGACAGTTTGACCCATCTGCTGTCAATTGTTGGACCTAGCATCACAAAAATTACCACCAACTACAGGGAGTGTGTTGGCCCACAGGATGCATTCATTACAAAGATGTTTTTTTATTTATATTCACATTAGTTCTGTAAAGTTTACAGAACTAATGTGAATATAAATTAAAAAAAATAATTAGCACAAATTAAATTCCCCAGTAACATGTCTGTGTGGCAAATGTCACACAGTGGTACAGGAGTACACTTACAATGCTGCTAGAAGTGCAATAAGGACATGACAAGTGACTCACTTTTGACTTTTTTTGTCTTTTTTCACCCACAATGCCACTGCTGCCTGGGGGAGAGGCTGATCCAGGAACAGCATACGCATCACATAATTCTTGGCCAGAGAGGGGAGTTCCCTATAGAGGTTCAGACACACTGTAAAATTACACAAAACAATCCTCACGAGTCATATTTTATCAACACCATAACCAGGGCTGCCAACTCTCACACACTGACTAAGGACTCACAAATGACACTTTTCACATGCTCTCACTAAATATGTCCATTTTCCACACAGTGAAAAACTCATTTCTAACTGATAACGTCACAGCACCAATCAACTCTGCATAGTTGATGCAACACCAGCGTACACCAGGATAGTTATCAAGTGGACCCAGTCTGCACTGTGAGTCACACACAATTTCACTAGAGGGGTAACGTTAGGCTACTGATAGAGTTTTGCGATAAAATCTTTTAAAAATAAATAGTTGCCAACAGCAGCAAGATGTCTATGGAGATTCTCAGTCATCCAGGTCATAGTTATCCAACGAAGGTTAAAGTCAAGGGCAACTGGACTTGGTTGAAGAACTGAAGGACTTCTTCAGTTCTGACTGACTGGCAGGGAAACTCAGCTATTTAACCTCAGTGGGGTCGTTTGCCTGGATCGTCGATACCGCTGGTTCGTTAGTGTTCCTGGTTGCTGTGACGACAGTCGTTACAGTCGTTAGGACTACCGGTGGCCAAGACTGAACGACCATCGTTGGTATCTTCACCTGAGGTCAACAGGTTACGTTTATTGAATTTCCTGGGAAGTGATGAAAGGATAGCTGCAAGTTTGATCTCCCTGTGTCATTAATTGATGTTTTACAATCTTATAATGTAAAAGGTTAAATATGGATATTTGAGAGCCGTTGGCTGCAATTCACAGCCCTCCCCACTACATGCCACTAAAACCTACACACTGAACCTTAAAGACAATGACATGGTGGCTATACATCGTTTATTTAATTTTTTAAAAGTTCTCAGTGCCGTGTTTCTGACATTTCGCGCGCGTGTGTGTGTGTGGAGTGTTTTCCATTAATTAACGAGTTTAATTTGTTCCGCCATAGCTTCAAAATGAACCGAATTTTTTTTCCACATCTCATAACAACATTACAGACCTCCAACATTGAGTTTTGTCAGTGCTGCTGTAAGCTCCCACACTCACACACTTTGGCATCCGACTCGAGACTTACCATTTTAGATAACTATGGTAACGTTGACGTCCGTTTCTGTCACTTGTTTGAGAAGGCAATTAAGCTAGCCGCACCTAAATTTGTAGTACACTTAAATGCACCAGTGTGAGCTGACAGCAACAATAAAATGTTAGGGAAATTACTTCTATTCTTTGATTTAGGGTTGCTGGAAAAATATTAAATAAATTTGGTGACTTTTGTTGCTGTTTCAACACCATTTATAGCTACAGTGGGGATAACAAGTATTTGATACACTGCTGATTTTGCAGGTTTTCCTACTTACAAAGCATGTAGAGGTCTGTAATTTTTATCATAGGTACACTTCAACTGTGAGAGACGGAATCTAAAATGAAAATCCAGAAAATCACATGTATGATTTTTAAATAATTCATTTGCATTTTATTGCATGACATAAGTATTTGATACATCAGAAAAGCAGAGCTTAATATTTGGTACAGAAACCTTTGTTTGCAATTACAGAGATACGTTTCCTGTAGTTCTTGACCAGGTTTGCACACACTGCAGCAGGGATTTTGGCCCACTCCTCCATACAGACCTTCTCCAGATCAGAAGTTAAGAATAAGGCTACGTGTCAAAAAGACATGGTCAAACTGCAGAAATTAATTTGCACAGCAACGTTGCGTAAAATTAGCACCCAATGACAAGCACCCAGCAGCAAGCTTGCTCAGACCATTAAACTGCATTTAGCGGTTCGCTGGGCAGTGTGGTGAGATCCACAGACAAAATTACTATGCAGTCCTTCATTTATCAAAGATGAAGTAATTTGCAAATTTTCAGTAGGTTTCTGGGTTAAACCTGCATTTCTCTGGGGTATGATTAAACTAAGCATACTACTATGAGTAGTATTTTGAAATTCAAAATCACCAATGGTAACAGTGTATGTGTGAAAATCATAGCCTGTATTGAAAATTCGATTCAATCATATCTGCTCATATGTTTAACCTTTCAGAGGTGGAGCTGGACTCGGTGGTGTCAGGAGGAGGATGCTGTCCAAACTATGTCATCTTGGACAATGTCTCCCACCCACTCCATGACGTGTTGCTTAAACACAGGAGCACTTTCAGTGCAAGACTTCTTCCCCCAAAATGCACCACAGAGTGATGGCCACAGGCAGAAATGACTTCCTGTGGCCATCAAGCTTTATAACTCCTCCCTCTAAGTGTCTGACAAATGGGCATTTAGTTAGTTATTCAACTAGACATTATTATCTGTTTTTGTGCAATATTATCTGTCAATAATTAATGTGCAATACTATGCTGCAATTCTGCTGCTATTTATTCAATGTACTGTTCTCCATTGCAATTCTTTAATAATGTAAATATTGTACATACCCATACCCCTTTATATTTTTCTTTAGATTTCATTTCTATAGCCTTATATTTATATATTTACCTTCTTATCTACCTTCTTTCTTATTGCCTTCTTAACTACCTTCTTTCTATAATCATTTCTATTCCTTATGCCTTGATGTGCAATGTGTGCAACTGTAACACAAGAATTTCCCCTCTGGGATTCTGATTCTCCTAAGAGTACCATTTTGTAACGCCCCTTTCCCCCAACCCTCTGGACTCCACATTTCGTCAAGAAAATGACTCCAGAAATTCACTAGAATGCAGGAAAGCAGACTCTAAAATTACCAATTTTCTGGGGGAAGACCCCAGATAGCCAGGTTAGGTTCGGTTCTGATTTAGGATATATATGGCTGGAGGTTGGCAAGTACGCTGATCAACCAATTATCACTCACCATGATTGTTGACTTGGCATTTCATACATGCTTTAAAATTGTGAATTTGGCTGCTGAACTTTAAAACTTGATTCTTGAGGGTTAAGGCGCTAGGATCCCTGCGTGGAATATGTCACAGAAGGCTACTCATAAAATGCACTGACGTCACTGATCACAAATCTCACTCCAAACTAAAGTGAAAAGTTGGCAGCCCTGATCATTACCATCAGTGAGTATGTGTTAAAGCAATCATACCTGTATACGGCCAGACATGTTGCTGGATGGTTGTACAGTCTGTCCAAGACCTCAGGACTCAGCTCTTTCAGGTATTCATGCAAATTCTTACACTGCAGCTGGACACGCAGCTTCATTATCTACCAAAATAAAGAAGAAAGCCATCAAATGCACCGGCACTGTGAACAGTCCCATTCGGTCCTCCTGATCACGTCGTGCATACGCAGGGGAGCAGAACGTCGCACCAAATCCCTTTGAAATGTAGCGATGTATTGTTGCTTTGGTCATTCCTAAACAGACCTAATGATTTGATAACCACCGACAGAAAATCATTCATTCCTTGGGTCCACCGTTTAATTCGGCAGAGGTATATTCAACGTATAGCTTTTATATAAGTCTGGCAACAATTTCCAAATGATGTGGAAGTTGCATTCATGATCACAACAAAGTAACTAACGTTACAGTAGACTAGGAGCTTGAAATAAACTCATTAGCATGTTTGTCATGTGCATATAAAAGGCGTCATTTACCGTGAAGATGGATATAATATATCGACGACTTCCTGGCTGTAAAATTATTTTATACAACAAAATAACTGCATTGTTGTCATTCCACAGTCGAATTCCTTTCGCTAAGCGTGCGTTTCCAGGTCATGTGACCTTAAAATGGGCGCTCTTATTGGTCTTGTTCTTCTTCAGCAATTTTCAATGGCGATCGTGGAACAGCTTGAAGAGCAGTACCGCCACCTGCTGAAAGGTGAGAATGGAACGGGATATATGACCTGGTAAAGAAGTTTAGAAAACGTCTTTCTGTTAGGCCGTTCATCACTAGAAGAAGAAGATTAAAATCAATAAAGATATATCAGAAGTAAATACTTGCGGGGGGGCTGTGGTTGTGAAGGTCGGTGGTTTGATCCCCTGCTCCCCCAGTCTGCATGTCAAAGTGTCCTTGGGCGATATACTGTCCTCCACACTGCTATGAGTGTGTATGAATGTGTTACCTTCTGTTTGAGCCTCTGCTCTCCTTTAAAAAAGATTGAATGGAAATTTGTGCTGTGCTGTGGTGGGAGTTGCTAAAATTAATGCAGTCTAATAAAACAGTCCTGCAATAAATCCCACCTTTATGAAGATTCCAATGTTCAGTTTTTGTTGTTTTATAGCAGTGCTGGATCAATGGTAATTTTAGAGGGTTTAGTTTGTGGTGCTGTTAAACTGTTAAAATGGTGGCATTTCTACTATTTTGCCCAACCCATTTATATCGAGGATAGGATAAATAATAGAAGCAGATACATTCTGTATAACGCAGTACAGTTATACACCACTTCCTTTTGACATGGCCTAACACATCAAGGTAACTGTTGACTTCTAACTTTTGTGACATTTCCAGCATCTCTACTTCTAAAGCCCACATATGCTTCAAAAAACCCACAGCTAAGTTTTTAAGCTAAGTTGAGGCTGAAGAGAGTTGGGTTCTTCAAGGTGACACACCGGCCTTACACCCACAATCCACAGCTGATCTTTCAAATCTTACAGCTTTCAAACCTACTGATCCATTCTAATTCATGCCACTTGAAGCCATTTTACAGCAATCCAATCATTGTGTCAGTGGCCCCTGTAAACCCAGAATCAAACCAGACTCCCAAAAATCTGATATAAGCTGTTCCATAATCTGTAGACTTAGTCTTCTCATTTCTTCATTAGACAGTCAACTTCGCTGTTTATAGGGTTAATGTGTTATTAGGCAACCAGCAGAGCTGTCCCATCATGATTGTTTCTGTGGCCTTCGCAGTCTGTCAATAAGCGTTTAACCACAAATGAGTATTAACCAAGCAGCATGTTATGCTTCATATATTAATTTGCCAAGATGTTTTTACCTCCCCTGTTGTTGTTGTAAGTTCTTGTTCAGACTGTGCTATGAAAATAAACTTGCTTTCATGTTTTTTTCTACTTCAAGGCCACACTAATATGAAATTGTAATTTTGTTTGTACACAACACGCGCAACAGATGGTTTAAATAAAATTCACACTCCAGCAAAAATGTCGCCTTTGCACACAAGATACTGTATATCATAATGTAATTATGACAGAAACTTGCCATGCATTTTGCTAAGTACCTTTCTGTTCCCTTTCTGATATAGAAAGGTGCTATATAAATAAAGTTATTTAACAAATTAATAGTTCAACATTTTGAAAAAAACATTCCAAGTGTGACCTGATAAGATGCACAATCAATCTAATGTTATTCACATAAAACCTGGAAGCAGGGGGAAACAAATACATTTCAGCACCTCTAAAGCTAACTAATCAGAATCAGCTTTTCTGGCATGTATGTGTACACATACAAGGAACAGTTTTCGTCGATCAGCCTTCAATAACGTTAATAAATAACCACTGCAAGGCTCGGACAAACAAAGAGCTGAGACACAAAAGAACAAAACTCTTCCACTTATACAAAGTAGTTTTAATCTTTGGTTTGCAAGTACATACACATCTGAAATATGAAGAGGGCAAATTCATAAATTCAGACATCATTTCTACCAGCATCAACATTTAAAACCTAAAGTTCCTGCTGCAGTGGGCTCCTCCCAATGGGAAGGGATATTCCTGACTGGATATGATACCCACTTGGTGGTGTCATTACTGAAGGAAACGTTCTGGTTAGTGACACAAAAACAACATTCTACCACTGAGCAACACCTGCCCGTTTGTAGATTTCTTTCGTGCTTGGAGGGTGTTTCTGGCTCTCAATTCAATTCAATTGTATTTATATAGCGCCAAATCACAATAACAGTTATCTCACAGTGCTTTTCATAAAAGAGCAGGTCTAGACCGTACTCTGTGATGATATTTACAGAAGCCCAACAATTCCCACCAAGAGCAGCACTAGGAGACAGAGGCAAGGAAAAACTTCCTTTTAAGAGGCAGAAACCTCGAGCAGAACCATGGCTCAGGGTGGGCGGCCATCTGTGTCAACCGGTTGGGGGTGAAGGAAGGAGAGAGAGAGAGAGAGAGAGAGAGAGGGATGGAATGAGAGAGAGGGGAGGGAGGCAGCCTACACAATATACACACACAGAGGTACAGACAGTAAAGGTGATGTTGCTATAGACTAAATGAAAAATGGTACAGATATTTATAGTAGTGTTAATGATAATAATAACAATAATAACAATAGGACTAGTAACAATAGTTGTAGCAGAGGGTGTCAAGCAGGAACACGGGGGCAGCAGATGACCCGCAGCCACAGATCCAGACTCCACAGCTCCAGAGCCAGAAAACTTGCAGGAAGTGATAGGAGGAGAGAGGAGAGAGACGAGAAAGCACAAGACTACCGGAAAGGGGAGAAGTTGTGTTAGTAACATGCAATAATGGGATGAGGTTGCATACAGAGGGAGAGAAAGTAGAGGAGAGAGGAGCTCAGTGCATCATGGGAAATCCCCCAGCAGTCTACGCCTATAGCAGCATAACTAAGGGATGGTTCAGGACTCACCTGAGCCAGCCCTAACTATAAGCTTTATCAAAGAGGAAAGTCTTAAGCCTACTCTTAAATGTGGAGATGGTGTCTGCCTTCTGAACCCAAACTGGAACCTGGTTCCACAGGAGAGGAGCTTGATAGCTGAACGCTCTGGCTCCTAGTCTACTTTTGGAGACTCTAGGAACCACAAGTAATCCTGCATTCTGGGAGCGCAGTGCTCTGGTGGGGTAGTAAGGTACTATGAGCTCTTTAAGATAAGATGGTGCCTGACCATTAAGAGCTTTGTAGGTAAGAAGAATGATTTTAAATTCTATTGTGGATTTTACTGGAAGCCAATGCAGAGAAGCTAAAACAGGAGAAATATGATCTCTTTTCCTGGTTCCTGTCAGAACACGTGCTGCAGCATATTGTTCCCACAGGATCCCTCTTTATCCGACCACTGTTTGATAACTTTTGAGTTTGTATTGCTGAACTACACGCCATTGGGCAAAAATTTCTATACAAGATGTCTGTCTGATAGTGCTGTAGCTAAATTTAAGGATGCGATTCCATCAGCTCTAAATTCATTATCTAGTCACAAAGTAAGGACTCCTATGCTAATTTCAGTCCCTCCCAAATCGATCATCTTGTTGATAGTGCTGCAGGCTCGCTGCGAATGACACTGGACTCTGTAGCCCCTCTAAAAAAGAAAATAATAAAACAAAGACGGTTAGCTCCATGGTATAATACTAAAACTCCCAACTTAAAGCAAATATTGCGGAATCTTGAGAGGAATTGGCGTTCCACCAAAGTGGAAAATTCTCGTTTAATTTGGCAAGATAGTCTTAAAACTTATAGGAAGGCCCTCCGTAATGCCAGAGCAGCGTACTACTCATCATTAATAGAGGAAAATAGGAGCAACCCCAGGTTTCTTTTCAGCACTGTAGCCAGGCTGACAGAGAGTCACAGCTCTATTGAGCCAAGTATTCCCATAGCTCTCAGTAGTTATGACTTCATGAGCTTCTTTAATGATAAAATTCTAACTATTAGAAACAAAATTCACCAAGACCTGCCCTTAACTGGCACCGACTTATCTCTAAACTCAGGAACCTTGTAGAGGAACAGCTGTAAAACCAGATATATGTTTAGACTGTTTTGCTTCCCTCAATCTTTACCAACTAACTTCAATAATTTAATCTAAACCATCAACCTGCCTCTTAGACCCCATCCCGACTAGGTTGCTTAAAGATGTTCTACCCTTAGTCAGCACCTCTATACTAGATATGATCAATCTATCTTTATCAACAGGCTATGTACCACAGTACTTTAAAGTAGCTGTAATTAAACCTCTTCTGAAAAAGCCCAACCTTGATCCAGATGTTTTAGCTAACTATAGACCTATATCTAACCTTCCATTTCTCTCTAAGATCCTGGAGAAAGCAGTTACTAAACAGCTGTGTGACGTTCTACAGAGCAATAGTTTATTTGAGGATTTTCAGTCAGGATTTAGAGCTCATCATAGCACAGAGACAGCACTGGTGAAAATTACTAAACTTACTAATGACCTCCTCATTGCATCAGACAAAGGACTTGTCTCTGTACTGGTTTTATTAGATCTTAGAGCTGCATTTGATACCATTGACCATCAGATCCTATTACAGAGACTGGCATTAAAGGAACCGCTCTAAGCTGGTTTAAGTCCTATTTATCAGATCGATTTCAGTTTGTACATGTTAACAATGAGTCCTCCATGCATGCCAAAGTTAGTCATGGAGTTCCACAAGGATCTGTCCTCAGACCAATCCTCTTCACTTTATATATGCTTCCTTTAGGCAATATTATCAGGAAATATTCCATAAACTTTCATTGTTATGCAGTTATCAGTTATATCTATCGACCAAACCAGATGAAACTCATCTTTCATCTCATCTCATCATCTCTCATCTTCATCAAACTTTTGCTAAACTTCAAATGTGCCTTCAGGATTTTAAAACCTGGATGACCTGTAATTTTCTAATGTTAAACTCAGATAAAACTGAAGTTATTGTTCTGGGGCCTAAGCACCTTTGTGACACATTATCTAAAGATATAGTTTCCCTTGATGGCATCGCCCTGGCCTCCAGCACCACTGTGAGGAATCTTGGAATTATCTTTGATCAGGATCAACATATATCTGGTTTTACAGCTGTTTCTAAGGTTCCTGAGTTTAGAGATAAGTCGGTGCAAGTTGAGGGCAGGTCTTGGTGAATTTTGTTTCTAATAGTTAGAATTTTATCATTAAAGAAGCTCATGAAGTCGTAACTACTGAGAGTTATGGGAATACTTGGCTCAATAGAGCTGTGACTCTCTGTCAGCCTGGCTACAGTGCTGAAAAGAAACCTGGGGTTATTCCTATTTTGGTCTGTTAATGACGAGTAGTACGCTGCTCTGGCATTACGGAGGGCCTATTATTTTCTTTTTTAGAGGGTCTACAGAGTCGAGTGTCATTCGCAGCGAGCCTGCAGCACTATCAACAAGATGGTCGATTTGGGAGGGACTGAAATTAGCATAGGAGTCCTCCGTTACTTTGTGATCTGATAATGAATTTAGAGCTGATGGAATCGCATCCTTAAATTTAGCTACAGCACTATCAGACAGACATCTTGTATAGAAAATTTTACCCAATGGCGTGTAGTTCAGCAATACAAACTCAAAAGTTATCAAACAGTGGTCAGATAAAGAGGGATTCTGTGGGAACACCACTAAATGTTCAATTTCAATACCATACACCAAAACAAGGTCGAGTGTGTGGTTAAAACAGTGAGCCAATGGAATCTAACAGAGAGATAAATGCAGTACCGAAGCTGTCATTCTCAACGTCCACATGAATATTAAAATCCCCTACAATAATAACTTTGTCCGTTTTAAAGACTAAAGTTGACAAATAACAGATAAGAATTCAGAGTACGGGCCAGGTGCTCGGTACACTATAACGAAAAGAATTGGTTGCAGTGATTTCCAACTTGGGTGTGAAAGACTAAGAACAAGGCTTTCAAATGAGTTATAATTTAGTTTAGGTTTAGAGCTGATTAGTAGGCTAGAGTGGAAGATAGCTGCAACTCCACCTCCTCGGCCTGTGCCTCGAGGAATGTGAGTATTAATATGACTAGGAGGGGTGGATTCATTTAGGCTAACATATTCTCTATCACCCAACCAGGTTTCGGTAAGACAAAATAAATCAATATCATAATCTGATATTAGTTCATTTTACTAGTACACCTTTAGAAAAGAGAGATCTGATGTTTAAGAGTCCACATTTAACTCTCCTATTCGTTTGCACTATTGCTCTTGTGGTTTTAATTTTTAGGGAAAGCATGCCAACACCGACCAGCTCTTCGCCACCGCCTAGTAGGACTGCTAGTTTTGCCTCAGAGACCGCCAAGAACTGCTGTAAAAACCCTCACGAGCCCGCCGCTCCTACATGCTATGCTGCAAGCACTGGTGGTGGATTTAGCCTGCTAGCTGCATTCGAGGAGCCTTTCCAGCCATCTAACTTTGTTTTTCCTAGTAGACTTTGGAACAGAAACTTTCAATCGTGCATTCACACCAGCTTGGAAGTGGCTGCATTACGTGGCTGAGACCAGTCGAGTTTTGTGTTTTGCTTGTCTGAAAGCAATAGAAAAAAAACATCAATGCAGACAGTTTTGGGGCAGACAACCCATTCGTGTCAGGCGGCTTTGGAAACTGGCGTAAAGCCACTGCAAAATTCAAGGAACATGAATGATCCAAGTTACACATGGTTTCAGTTCAAAGACACGCTGCTTTGGATAATGTGCCCATCAATTCTCTCCTGTCTGATGCGCTTGCTGAACAGCAGAGGACTGCTCGACATGTTTTGGAACTACTGTTCAGATTTCTGGGCAGGGTTGACACCACTCGTGATGGAATCCTTTACGAACTGATGTTGGAACAAACCTATTATCTCCCTAAAGAATGAGAGTGGGTGATGAGAAGAGGCAACTGGATGTCCAACACCATACAAAGTGATATTATCCAACAGTTTGCCCATGCTATTCAGCTATGGAGTCGGGTTACGAGACTGGTATAAATATGTTTGATTCTTAATATTGTGTGTTTCCTGTGTTATTAGACTTAGACGTTATTAAGAGATGTCCACCTGACACGAAAAAATGCACCTCCCACTACAGCATCCCCAACTTAAAACCTCTTCCCACGGCCATCGATGGGCAATGATCTCCTGAGCAGTTTTTATCATATCATCTATAGGTATTCAGATCCTTTACTTAAGTAAAAGTACTAATACTTCACTGTAAAAATCCTATGTTACAAGTAAAAGTAGGCTACTGCACTGATGTTACTTAAGTAAATGTATGTAAATAGGATCAGGAAAATGTACTTTTGTATTAAAAATAAAAGTACTCAAAGCAGAAAGAAAAATGTCCCCTGTGACTATTATGCTACTATATATTAGATTATTATTACTCATGCATTCATATAGTTGATAGAAGTTGAACTATTTTGCATAAATTTGCAATGAATGACTTTTTCATTTTGGATTAATCTGTTGATTATTTTCTCCATTGATCGATTGTAAAAATTCTGAAAATGGTGACATTAGTCATCACAGTTACACAAAGCCTTCACAGTGCTTGCTTTGTTCAATTCAATTTCAATTCAATTTTATTTATATAGCGCCAAAAAATCACAACAACAGTTATCTCACAGCGCTTTTCATAAAAGAGCAGGTCTAGACCGTACTCAGTCTAAACTAAACATGATTAAAAATAGGTTAAATAATCAGAAGGAAAAGCAGCAGATCTTCACATTTCTGAAGCTGGAACAAATTTTTACATGAAAAGTGATTATCAAAATTGCCAATTAAATTTCTGTCAATTAGCCAATGTACTACCTGTACTTGTATAAACTGAGTAGTTTAATTTATAGCAAATCATCACATTTTTTTAAATTATTCATATGTTTTGTGTGTAAAAATCTTACTTTGTAAAGTAACTAGTAACCGAAGCTCTGTAGTGAAGTTAAAAGTACAATATCTCCCTCTGAGATGTGGTGGAATAGAAGTGGAAAGTGGCATGATACACAGTACAAATACCTCTAATTTGTACTTAAGTACATTCCTTTAGTAAACGCACTTAGTTACTGCTCACTATGCTTCCTATTGCTCCTCTGTAAAAGCTGACAAGAACTTTGGGAATTTGGCCTTCTTAAGCTTCCTCAAGAAATCCAGTCATTTCTGAGCTTTCTTCACCGGCGTGGAGATGTGAGACGACCATGTCAGGTTCTCTGTTATGCCGATTCCTAGGAACCTGAAACTGTTCACCTGCTCCACCGATGTAGACAGGAGTGTGTTTCTTTATCTCCTTCTTCCTAAAATCAACGATCAGCTCCTTGGTTGTAATTTCAGGCGCTCCCGACCCAGAGTGGCAGAGACGCCATTATCCCTATTACAAGTCAGTGTACCATCAAAATGGTCTTGAAGCTCTTTTTTTAGATACCAGTTTTGAATCACTACATAATATTGCTTTAAAGCCTATGGAGGCCCATTCAGTCTCATTGTATTTATAACTCAGCACTTGTACATGGTATAATTGCCACTCAAACTGCAAACTGTTCTGCTCATTACTATAACATGTATGTATAGTATATGAGTAATATATGGTAATGCATTAAAGCCTAATACAGAAGTATTTAAAACTTCCATTTACTCCCATTAAGGCCAATGAGTTTTCATATGATTATCAATTAATTAAAACCAATCAGCTTCAAGACGCACAGCAATCACACACATTCAAGAAATACTTCCAGAGTCTGGAGGAAGAGAGGAGAGGCACAGAATCCACGTTGCTTGAAGTCCAGTGTAAAGTTTCCACAGTCAGTGATGGTTTGGGGTGCCATGTCATCTGCTGGTGTTGGTCCACTGTGTTTTCTGAGGTCCAAGGTCAACGCGGCCGTCTACCAGGAAGTTTTAGAGCACTTCATGCTTCCTGCTGCTGACCAACTTTATGGAGATGCAGATTTCATTTTCCAACAGGACTTGGCACCTGCACACAGTGCCAAAGCTACCAGTACCTGGTTTAAGGACCATGGTATCCCTGTTCTTAATTGGCCAGCAAACCCGCCTGACCTTAACGCTATAGAAAATCTATGGAGTATTGTGAAGAGGAAGATGCGATACACCAGACCCAACAATGCAGAAGAGCTGAAGGCCACTATCAGAGCAACCTGGGCTCTCATAACACCTGAGCAGTGCCACAGACTGATCGACTCCATGCCACGCAGCATTGCTGCAGTAATTCAGGCAAAAGGAGCCCCAACTAAGTATTGAGTGCTGTACATGTTCATATTTCTAAAAATCCTTTTTTTGTATTGGTCTTAAGTAATATTCTAATTTTCAGAGATGCTGAATTTGGGATTTTCATTAGTTGTCAGTTTTAATCATCACAATTAAATAAAATAAACATTTGAAATATATCATTCTGTGTGTAACAAATGAATATAATATCCAAGTTTCACTTTTTGAATGGAATTACTGAAATAAATCAACTTTTTGATGATATTCTAATTATATGACCAGCACCTGTATGTAAAACCACTGCACACTTCCTGTCCAGCGCCAACCCGCAGAGAGCAACAAGCTAGTGAACAGTTGTGCGTTTAGCAGCTAAAGAGCCAGATGTTGACCAAACCAGAATGTGATCTCACTACAAGAGCTAAAAAGGCGAATATTGGACAAAACTGATATGTTGTGTTTACAGCTTGCTTGATGCCCCAAGAGGCCAAAACACATTCATGCAGCTTTAACAACATTTTATTATAAACAATTTTAGTTGTAAAAATGTCACATCTTAAATTAACAAGTTTTGTAAAGCATTAAAGTTCTTCATTCTTGACCTTGGAAAATGTAGTTTAACAAAAGAAATTCCTATGGTCATCTTACAAGCTCTTTCTGCAGCTTTCAGCTGTACCACGTTGTTTTTTTATCTGTAGAAGATCATCTATGACAAGTGAGCTACACTACTTCCAAGAAAACTGAGTGAAGACTGAGACACAACTGAAAGCTTTGGGGGAAAGGCCCAGTGAGGCGTTTGCTCCATGTGTTATACATGTGTTGAGAAAGCATCCAACCATCTGAAATCAGCACTGGCAGACATGAGAGCAAATGCATGTGGGGGAATGGACAAGGTGGGCTGGATTTCTTTTCAGGAGTCCTCCTTCTCTTGATACCTGTAACATGGAAATCACAAAATGATCACGCAGCAGCACAAAATGCTGCAATCAAGTTCCTTAACATAAAGTGTTCATATTGATTACCTGCAGTTTACACAGGTGAAGAAGACAGTCTGTCCTTCATCTGCAGACCTCATCTGCCTGGTGTGGTAAATCATCCCTTCTTTATTACAACGAGAGCAGCGTCTGTCAATCTAAAGGGAGCAGGTAACCTCATTAACACAGTGTACAGTTGTTACCGTCAACAGCAGTCAGTGAGTAGCAGACAAGACTGGTCTTACCACAGGTCCCTTCAGTTCAGAGTCCTCCTCGTCCTCTAGAGCCACTGACGACTGCTCCACAGGGTTGAAGATGACTGTAGAGCGGATCTCATGGCCCGAGATCTCTGGACAATAAAATACATGAATGGGATAATCAATCTAAATCTATATTCCCAAACGAAAATTGTTCACAGTGAGGTGTGTGGATTACAAACTATCTGAATGGATAAATACCAGCAGAGGAAAGTAAGAAAATAGGTTTTTGTAATTTGTTTAACCAACCCTCTAAATGTGAGCTTCTCTGCTCCTATGATTCAATAGAAACGTCTCCAGTCATCACACTCATCGACTGTGATAACATATTCCTTTATTAATCCCTGTAGGGAAATTGGTGTTGGCACAGCAGCACACAGGAATGGTAAAGAACAAAAATGCAATAAAAGTAGAATCAGTAAGCATTCTTGCATCGATATAATATACAAACTGTATACACACCACATACAATCAATATGTCATTAACATTCTATGTAACTGGGATGGGGTGTTCAGAGAGTGTGCAGGACATGACAAAAAGTTGGTACCTGTTACAGGGATGCAGAAGGAGCAGCGGGGACAGCGGACTGTGTCCTGCATTCCTGGAAGAGGAAGAATGTTCCCACATTCTGGGCAGAAATTGGGATCACCACCAAAACACGACATCTCTGCAGAAAAGGAGCAGTGGTACTGTAGACTAAATTACAGTCACTGTTAAACACAATATACAATAGCTGTTGTTTTTTTACAATGCACACAAACATAACTGCCATAATTAAATGGCTGGCTGTAGTTCTTGTTGGCAGATCTGTCAGTTCCTTTTCAAAAGGCATGAAGGTGAGGTGACACGTTTGCTTAACTTCACAGATTGTTCTGTGAGATATTATGACTTTCCAAATAAATTTAAAATAATAACATTGCGTGTCCATAACAAATTAAAGCACAAAAGAACTGCACAACATGTAACTGAGTACGTCCCTTAAGCACGTGAGAATAAATGGACCCAATCTCTAACAGCTGACGGTCTATTCAACTTTAAATAAATCAAACATTAGCTTTCAGAGCAGAATTTAGTTACCTACCTGTTTAATGATGTTACCACGCACAAATAATACGCATTTTAGGAGAAAATATTAAACGTTGCCTGTCTGTAATGTTAGTGTGCAATTAGCATCTTAGTATCGGTTACACTCTGCAGGGTCTTTCAACTCTTCACCGTCGCAGACTGAGACGTCATATGGGTAGGCGTCGTGGTAAAAACAATTTCTCTTGTAGTTTAGGTATCTTCATTGCTAAAACTCATTTTAAACCAACAGTATTAGCACTTCAAGCAACCGTATATATTTGTTACATTTTTAAAGTTCATATTTGAAAAGTGAACTGGTTTAACAGGCGAGCTGATTCGCTGATTCAATTACTTTTGGGGCCTTTCTCAAACCGGACCCTTTCCACTCCGTCACGGAACGGAGGGGGTGCGTTCCGTTCCAAGTATTTTTTTATTATTATTATTATTATTGTTATGACACATTAACATACAACACTCTCGTATGGGGAACAAAAAATAGATCACTTGGTACAAATCAAAAACCAGTCTTACAAACACAGGAAATAAATGAAAATAAATGAATAAACAGAAAGGAGAATGGGGGTACCAGTTAGTAAAAAGCCTATAAAAAACAAAATAAGGTCTCATTTCGGTGCAGCAATATGGGGAGATTGTTAAAACAATAATTACTTGGAATTATACTAGATTTGTCCGTTCCAAGTATATCCAGCTGCAGCCTGCAGACCGATGACATTCATCTCGGCTTACGTACATGATGGATCCTAATGCAAACCATTTTATTCTTTAGAAGCCAACAACAGAACTTTAAATATGTGCGCCGCTGTAGAGTTAACCGGTCGACATGCATATAATCAATAACTTTAGGCACATACCCTGGTTGGGGTAAGAGGAATATACTTCGGGGGGCTGTCAGGAATAGCTAGCTAGCTACGGTTAGCTCCCACAGGCCCAGTCACACAGACCACTGCAGCCAACACAGCAGACGTGTCCAGCAACAGCTGATAATGTTTGTACCACTGTTATTCTGTCAATAAATTCTCAGTAATGTTACGTTTTAACCTAAATCAAGACACATCTGGCTCGTTATGTAACATTACAGAATATTCTTGGTTTGTGAAACTTAAAATCACTTTGGAAGAAATAAGAGAGAGATATATATATATATAGTGGTATGAATTGAAACATTGCTTTATTATCATCATTAGGCTATTTAAAAAAAAGTATTTGCAGGAATTATAGCATAAATATACTATATTAATAATATATAATTATAGTATAGTAAATATTAACACATAACGTACACTGATTACTACGTTGACACTTGACACCTCTTTTTTTATTATTTATTTATTTTCCAAAAACTTTATTCAAAATTAGGATATACAGCAGGAAAACAACATCTTCTGTACATCGGTAAAGTCTATGGACATATCACAAATAGGCCAGGGAGGTCAAGGGTTATGGAAAGAAAGTATAATTTTAACAAAAGCAAAAAAAAAAAAAAAAAGTGTCTTTTAATAAATATCTTGTAAAGCTTACAGAGGTCATATGATTTAACAGCTTTTTTGTTTTTACACTTAGATATTGAAAGAACATAGTGCTTAATGTTAGCAGCAAGCTCCAAAAAGCTTGGTTTCTTTTTTCTTCTGACTGCAAATAAAACTTTGTTAAAAATAATAAGTAAATTGAGAAACTTTACTCCAAAGTTTCTTGGTATGTGGGCATGTTTCACTGAGTTCTCCAAAGAAAGTCCTTTTTCAGTTTTTGCAGGTAACCCTTAGTGGGATAAAATCTGTGAAGCATTTTGAATGAGATCTCTTTGACTTTGTTGGTTAAAAAAAACTTGTGTGGCAAAAGCCAGCTCTTTTTTTTATTTAACAACTGAGCGGTCGAGATAAACATCATCACGTTTTGTGCGCGGTGGCTTCTGGGACAACCCATATATGGAAGTTCAACTTCCGTCAACTTCCGTCACATTTGTCTATGGTTTTTATATACAGTCTATGGTTTGTCTGCGGGCTGCAGCTGGACCCTTCTCTTACGTTCACCTAGTTGTTCCCACAGTCTATGGTTGTTCCTTGCACAGAGTACTCTGCCATGTTAAGATTCCAAACTATAACTGTGTAGGGAAGAAGTGAACAATGGTTCATCAGTTTGACGGAAGTTGACAAGCAAGATTTCCCATTAGATAGGAGAGGCAAAAACTTAGAAAAAAGAAGAAGCTTTTATTGACAAACAGCATGGTAAACATTTTAAATACACATGTTAGAAGAGAGGTCATTAATGACGACAGAATGTTTTCCTCTTCATGTGAAAAGAAGGTTTTTGTCTGAGATATTTTCAAGAGTGGACACCTTCAAAGTTCGAACTATATTTCTATCATTTCCACTGTTTCCTAAAATGAAAGAGGTTCATCATAATAGCTAATATTTCACAATTTATATTCATAAGTGTAGATATTTTAAAGCTTTTATAAATGATCTGAAGATTTGTTCAGTCGTTGAAAAAACTGGAAAGGAATGGTGCCTTAAGACTCTGAGTTACCTCCATTGTTTTTTGATTTAATCCCCTTAATTTATTTTATATTTTTTTATTTTATATATTTATTTTTTGTAAATTTTTTGTTGTTTGCTGTAGGGCTGCTCGATTATGGCAAAAATCATCATCATTTTGGCTATAATGGAGATCTTGATTATTAACACAATTATTGATTGAAACATTGAAACATCGTGCTTTTATTGAACTTTTAAAACGGAATGCTTCATTTTTTTAAATGATTATGGATAATCCAAAAATAAGAAATCAAACATTTTAAACTTTAAACGCTCTTCTAAGTGTAATTTTCGCAATATTACGTAGGTGAAAAAAGGCGGTCCTTGAAATTTGCTTAATGTGAGACTTAAACGACATGTCCTGATCAAAGATAATTCCAAGATTCCTCACAGTGGTGCTGAAGGCCAGGGCGATGCCATCAAGGGAAACTATATCTTTAGATAATGCAGCACGGAGGTGCTTGGGCCCCAGGACAATAACTTCAGTTTTATCTGAGTTTAACATTAGAAAATTACAGGTCATCCAGGTTTTAATATCCTGAAGGCACATTTGAAGTTTAGCTAACTGATGAGTTTCATCTGGCTTGATCGATAGATATAACGGAGTATCATCTGCATAACAATGAATATTTCCTGATAATATTGCCTAAAGGAAGCATATATAAAGTGAAGAGGATTGGTCCGAGGACAGATCCTTGTGGAACTCCATGACTAACTTTGGCATGCATGGAGGACTCATTGTTAACATGTACAAACTGAAATCGATCTGATAAATAGGACTTAAACCAGCTTAGAGCGGTTCCTTTAATACCAATGAAATGTTCCTGTCTCTGTAATAGGATCTGATGGTCAATGGTATCAAATACAGCACTAAGATCTAATAAAACCAGTACAGAGACAAGTCCTTTGTCTGATGCAATGAGGAGGTCATTAGTAATTTTCACCAGTGCTGTCTCTGTGCTATGATGAGCTCTAAATCCTGACTGAAAATCCTCAAATAAATTATTGCTATGTAGAAAGTCACACAGCTGTTTAGCAACTGCTTTCTCCAGGATCTTAGAGAGAAATGGAAGGTTAGATATAGGTCTATAGTTGGCTAAAACATCCGGATCAAGTTTGGGCTTTTTCAGAAGAGGTTTAATTACAGCTACTTTAAAGTACTGTGGTACAGTACTTAGTATAGAAGTGCTGACCAGGGGTAAAACTTCTTTAAGCAGTTACTTGGTAAAGATTGAGGGAAGCAAAGTTCAGCAATACAAACTCAAAAGTTATCAATCAGTGGTCAGATAAAGAGGGATTCTGTGGGAACACTATTAAATGTTCAATTTCAATCCCATATACCAAAACAAAATCGAGTGTGTGGTTAAAACAGTGAGTCGGTTCATGAACACTCTGAGAGAAGCCAATGGAATCTAACAGAGAGATAAACGCAGTACTAAAGCTGTCATTCTCAACATCCACATGAATACTAAAATCCCCTACAATAATAACTTTGTCCGTTTTAAGGACTAAAGTTGACAAAAACTCTGCAAATTCAGATAAGAATTCAGAGTACGGACCAGGTGCTCGATACACTATAACAAAAACAATTGGTTGCGAAGATTTCCAAATTGGGTGTGAAAGACTAAGAACAAGGCTTTCAAATGAGTTATAATTTAGTTTAGGTTTAGAGCTGATTAGTAGGCTAGAGTGGAAGATAGCTGCAACTCCACCTCCTCGGCCTGTGCCTCGAGGAATGTGAGTATTAATATGACTGGGAGGGGTGGATTAATTTAGGCTAACATATTCTCCATCACCCAGCCAGGTTTCAGTAAGACAAAATAAATCAATATCATAATCTGATATTAGTTCATTTACTAGTACACCTTTAGAGGAGAGAGATCTGATGTTTAAGAGTCCACATTTAACTCTCCTATTCGTTTGCACTATTGCTCTTGTGGTTTTAATTTTTATGAGGTTTTTATGCACAGCTCCTCTTCTGTTTACCTTTTTAAATAATTTCGATGGTCGGGGGACAGACACCGTCACTATAAGATTTTCACTAAGTAACTCCTGAAATGGAGGAGCAGAGAAGTGTGTTAGACTGCGACTCTGCGTAGGGTTTTGGGTGGGTAACTGCTGAAAAAGAAGGGCAGAGAAGTGTGTTAAACTGCGACTCTGCCTCCTGGTCTCAACTCTGGTTTGTCATGGATTTGGTCCACTAATAAACTTGGCCAGATTTCTAGAAATGAGAGCTGAATCAGACCAGGTCTTCCCCAGAAAGTCTGCCAATGATCTACAAAGCCCACATCGTTTGAGTTAGTATTGTTGCTGACCATGTCCACCCCTTGATGACCACAGTGTACCATCTTCTGATGGCTACTTCCAGCAGGATCATGCACCATGTCACAAAGCTCAAATGATCTCAAACTGGTTTCTTGAACATGACAATGAGTTCATTGTACTCCAGTGGCCTCCACAGTCACTAGATCTCAGTCCAATAGAGCACCTTTGGGATGTGGTAGAACGGGAGATTCACATGGATGTGAATTAGAATTAGAATTAAGTTCTGAAGGCAAAAGTGGGTCCAACCCAGTACTATCTGCAGATAGATAGATAGATAGATAGATAGATAGATAGA